TCAAGGAAATGAAGGCAAGGTGTATAAGCTTCAAAAAGTTTTATATGTGATTGATGCAGGCTCCAAGTGAAGTGAAGACACTCCCTAATTGTTTCTTTTATATATTGACGATTTGCTTGTTACAAGCAGTGTGAGCAAGAGTTGCTTCGGATGAAGTATTTTTTGTGGCTGGAAGCACATCAATCAGCCAAAGTCTAGGAGATCCTGAAACAATTCAGAATGCAAGTTGCAAAACAGTTCCTATACTATTGAGTTTGAATACAAAATTTTTAAGAAAGATAGAGCCGAAAACTATGATGCTTCGTATTATAGAAGTTTGATTGGAAGTCTCTTGTACTTGACGGCTTCAAGACCTGATTTAATAACGCTAGCAGCTAGTTTACTCTCAAGATTTATGCAAAATCCAGAGGACATTCATTTTGCAGCTTCCAAAAGAGTGCTTAGGTACTTAAAAGGTACTGTACAACTTGGAAATATGGCTTTGTTGATAGTGATTGGGTCGGAAATATAGACGATATCAAGAGAATTACTATCTATTCTTTTCTTAGAATTCAAAGAAGCAAGAAATAGTGGCGCAATCTACTACAGAGCCAGAGTATGTAGCAAAACCTCGTTTTCCATTATTTTACCATCAGTTTTCCTTTGGAAAGGTGAGTGTGAGGCTTCTGCTGTATTGCTGACTTCAATTGCAACAAATATAAAACTTTGATCGCTAGAAATGTCTAGTTTTCTATTTTTTCTATAGGAGGTTACGCAGGATCTTTCATAAACAGTATCACATATATATAAGCAAGCAACAAAAATCTTTAAACAGTCAGGCATGAAGAACACTTTGTATAGCAGGATCATTTCTTTTGAAGATATAAGTATCGAATACATTAGTAATACCGAAACTATTAGTAAATATCCCCGAGGGAGCAGTGTCGCGTGACAGCCTTTACTCAACGTGCATCCGCTCGTGTTTTCATACTTTTCTTGCCACCGAATGCTCTGTTAGTTTAACATAAAGATCAAACCTGAGGGCAAAATGTTCATTGTATATAGGGAAAAGGGTCTTAGACCCCTCAACTCTGTGATGTAGAGCAGATACACCATTCATTATAAAAGTGGCTCACAATATCTGTCACACCCCTTATTTTTCCTCAAAATTTAATGATGTTTTGAAAGAAAGAGTTTTTCCAATTAAAGTGATATTTTGAAAAGAGATTATTTTATTATTCAGATTCGCAACTTGAAATTGAGTTTTGGTGTTTCAAGTCACCTTATTTAAATCTCTAATCAAAAGGAAATTTGACTCTTTATTTTATTGATCTGCGAACCAGAAATTCGGGTAAGGGATCCTGTTGACTGAGGGGAAGGTGTTAGGCACCCCTCGAGTCCCGTGGTTCTAGCACGTTCGCTTTATTGACTATATATGACTTAAATTAATTTTTGGATATTATATTATTAGCTTAATAATAAAAATGTTATTTACCCTCATTCTCTGATTTATTTTAAACCTATTTAAAACTGTCTTATTTATTTTAAATCTATTTAAAATTGTTTTATTTTTTCGGTGTGTGTCCATTAATTTGAAACTTGAAACATCCGTATTTTCTTTTTCCTTTTTTTTTTTTTTACTTTTTTGCTTGTATTTGTATTATTATTTTTTTATGTTATTATGGGTAGAGTATATATTGGTATCTAGTTACTAGGAATTAGAATTTGTGTGGGAAAGAGATTTTTAGAGTTCAAGTTAATTTAGGATTGTATTTTTAAAAAAAAAAATAGGAATTAAAATTTTATGTTTAGGATTTTTTTAATTTTTTTTAGCTACACGTTTTTCTTCTTTATTTATTTTTATTTTAACGTTCTGTTGCTCTTTTTTTTTAATTTTTTTAATCATTTTTTTATATGTTTCTTAACATTCTGTTTCTTTATTTTTTCTTCTTACTTTTTGGTTTAATTTTTTTTTCTATTACGCCTTATTTTCTCTTCTTTTTTAATCATTTTTTATTATTATTCTTTTCTGTTCACGTTTATTCTTTTTTTTATCTTTTTTTTCTTCTTCTTATGCTTTCTCGCCTTTTTTAAAAAATTAGTTTTCCTAATTATTAATTATTTATTTTTTTACCATAAATCTCTAAATAATATTCATATATCCTCTTAATTATATACCTTAATAATTCGAATTAAAGCAATAATCATCTTAATGTTTATTCTAAAGGCAAATTATTTTTATCAAAATAATATATTAAAAAAAAGACTAAAACACATTCCACATAGGTTTTCTAAATCACTAATCAATTAAACTTCAGTTTATATCCTAATCTAACAAGTCTACAAATAATTTCAATAAAATTTTCTTAAGTGAAAACTAAGCTCCAAGAAACATTAACTATTCAAAATTAAATGTCACGAAATTAATTTCAATATTAATTGCATCTAAAGAGCATAAGACAATAAAAAAAAATGTATGATACATCTTTTATTTTTTAGTTTTTTTAGCAAGAAACGTCTTCGGTTCCGTTTTCCTAAGCATTCGTAAATTCTCAAAAATAATCACAACATGCATCACAGATTGATATTATATAAGAATAACATGAGATTCAAAGAACTTCATATTATTGGAATCGAGTTTTCGTACAAATATTCTATTCAAATCATGCGAGAATTTAGAGTTACCTCGCTGCGAAAATTGATACCACAAAACAACTGCTACGATCTACTGATTTCCAAAGTTAATCGCTAATATTAACTTTAAAGAGCCACGAATCCGAAACCTTGAGTGAAACCTCGAACGCTGACTTACTTCTCAAAATAAAAAAATCACTTTTGTTATTTGTCTCTTTTTCTCTTTACTAAGATTGTGTTTTTATAATAGTTTTGGGTGTGAGTCTGGTGCTAATTAAAAGGAACGTGATGGAGTGGGAATGATTTAATTTAAAATTTAGTTGAGAATTTTAGGGTTGAGATAAAGGAGGAAAAAATAAAATAAATGAATAAGTAATACTAATAAAACAAACAAAAAGAAAAGTATAAAACGTGTGGGGAAAGAAGGAAGATTTTTTTTTAAAAAAAATTGTGCAAAGAGAAAAAAAAACTTAATGGGGGAGGATTTTTAGGAAAAAATAGTTATGGAAGTTTGAAGGTAATTAGGATAAAGGGTAAGGTAATTTGAAATTTTTTGGACTCTTCTTTTTGTCTTTTTCTTCTTCTTTTTTTATCTACTTTTTCATAATATATACGATTATTATTATTTTTTAGACTAGATAAAAGTTGAAGAATTAAAACAAATACATTAAATTCACAAACTTTCTTTATTAAACTTTAAACATAAATGAGCTTATAATTTGTTGTAATTTCAGATTTATTTTTTCATTTATTTTTAATATAACCCTACTGAAATAATAATATTTACATATTAAAAATGGTGTAAAACCTTTAAATTTTGGTAAAAAATTAGGTGTTCACAATATCATTACGAAAGTGGCTCACAAATTCAGAATTAATTCTTGAGATTCCTATTCAACATTAAATACATATATTTTTAAAGTTATAAATTCATGTTCACTATTTATTACAATTTAAATTTTTCAGCAAGTAATTGACTGATCATATTATATAAATATACTTTCTTTCTTTCTTTGTCAATCAATTCACCTGTCTTGTTGTGCATTTTCCTTTATAAAGTTGGCCAATGTATTCCTCCATGTGATGATATAAGAGGTTGTCGAAATCACAACCATTCACCTTTATTAGTCTGTTCAAAAAAGTTTAACAACCAATTTACTTTTGTTTAAACCAAAATTTTAAGTACACTTAAATAATTTATAATTTATTTCTACTAATTAATGATAACTTTTTCTTTTCTTGAAACATACATGTTTTAACCAAAATTTTAAGTACACTTAAATAATTTATAATTTAATTGTTCATTTTCTTGAAGAGTTGTTGTAGCTTGTATAGGTGGATAATGAAGAGTTTTGTAATGCCTTTAAGCTTTTTTATTACCTATCATTATTGTATTATTTGAATTAGCTAAATATAGATATATTCTCCACAATACAAATGAACAATTAATAATTTGATAATTACGTGATATAAACATGAGGAGACTAATTTATTTGAGTTAGTAAGTGTGCAATTAATATTATTTCGGTGAATGATTTTAGATGTTGTTTTTTGGCATATAATAATAAATCATGTTGTTTGTGAGAGTACATATATCTTCACAATTTGAAAAAATTTGCGGAGACCTTCATTGTTATGGTGAAGTCTTTTTCGATCAAGTACATGGAATCTTGAATTGGTTGAGAATATCGTTGATGAAATTTTCATTTTCCGGCTTGAAGAATAAGTTGATTAAGTGGCGTTTAGGCTTATTACTTTCTCGTTTTACATCCTAGAAATTCAAATAAGAAAAGTTGGTAGATTTGATGAAGAATATTGAATGCTTACATCTCATATATCTCTCATGGAACTCTGTTTGAGACCATATATATCATTGCATTGTAGTCAACTTTTTTTTTCTCCATTTCAATAGTGATATTAATTAGTGGTATCTTTGATTTAGTTAAAGGCATCAACAAGTGTTCTTCCTCCTTCATCTAACAACCTTCAATTGCCATGCATAAGTTGTATTGGCGATAAACGCTTGATTTGATAAGTATTACGAACAGCATTTAGAAGAAAGATGGATTATCATAGTCGAACATAGAAAACGAGGTGCTTAAACTTAATTTACTCAAGAGTTTACAAAGACCATTTTCTTCTCTTTCTATTATGAGTTACCCGACTTTTATTCTGTTTTGTGAAAAATGGACAGATTCTTTTTCTTATTTTCCTCCTTTTAATCTGTTTTCACATTAATCTTTTTGCTACTTATTTTCCTCCTCCATATGAATCTGTTTTCACATTTTGGAAATTAGAGTCTATCCTTTTCAACATTTTATTTTTTTGGTGCTATAAATATAACAATGAGCTTTTTAAATACCACACGTACAAACATTCTATTTCCAATGGAGAAGCACATTTTCTTACTGATTCTTCTACTTGTAATTCAATATTACTCTGTTGCTTCCTCAAATGAAACTGATCAACAAGCTCTACTAGCTTTCAAAAATCTTATTACAAGTCCTAATCATTTTTTGGCCAATAATTGGACCAAAAATACTTCTTTTTGCTCTTGGTTTGGTGTCACTTGTAGTTCAAAAAGGCAAAGGGTTGTGGCCTTGGCTCTTCCTAATTTGCAACTTCAAGGCACAATTTCCCCGTCTTTGGCCAATCTGTCCTTCCTCAGTGTTCTCAATCTCGAGAACAACAGCTTCCGTGGTGGCATCCCTTATGGACTTGGTCACTTGCCTCGCTTGCGAGTGGTTGATATTCAAAACAATCAGCTCAACAGAAGTATACCAGCAAGTCTATTTCAACACCGGAGAGTTCAAGTAATTTCATTAGCTTTCAATGAACTCGGTGGTGAAATGTGGAAAGGGCCATGGTATGTCCCTGAACTCAGAGTCTTGGATCTCACCAACAACAGCCTCACAGGTATGATCCCTCCTCCTGTTGGAAATGCCACAAAAATGATGAACTTCAGTTTGTCTGGGAATAGAGTCAGCGGCAACATTCCAAAGGAGATCAGTAATCTGAGCCAACTTGCAGACTTGTACTTGACTGATAATCAATTAACAGGTTCCATTCCCGCAGCACTGTTTAATATCTCGTCACTACTTTCCATACATCTGCGATTCAATAGACTTTCTGGTCCTCTTTTGCTTGATCAAGGGAATATTGTGTCAAATCTGAAGTTTTTAAGTATATCTAACAACCAAATTTCTGGTTGCATTCCTTCCAACATATGCCAACTCAAAGAGCTCAAATGGTTGTCTTTATCTTTCAACAACATAACCGGAGACATTCCCAGAAATATTGATTGTTTATCTAAGCTTGAGGGGTTCTCTATTGGCAATAATCCAATAAAAGGGAATATTCCTACTTCATTGGGAAATATTTCCACTCTGCATATTCTTCATATTAGTAACAATCACATAGTGGGGCAAATTCCTCCGGAATTAGGGAAGCTATCAAATTTGAGGAAATTAATCTTAGCCCAAAATTATTGTCTCATTGGTCAAATTCCAGAGGCTATTTTCAACATTTCTTTGGAAATAGTCATGTTCAGTTACAATAACCTCTCAGGGAGAATTCCAACCACTACAGGTCTGCATCTTCCGAACCTTAAAGAATTTTACTTGGGAGCCAATCAGCTGGAAGGGGAAATTCCATTGTTCATAACAAATGCTTCCAAGCTTGAGATACTGGATCTAGCACAGAACTTTCTCACAGGCGCTATTCCTACTAATTTAGGAAATCTTCGTGAGCTGCGAGTACTGTTCCTACATACTAATCAACTTACCAATGAACCAAGAGAGCGTGAGTTGTTATTCCTCAATTCTTTGGCGGACTGTAGGATGTTGAAATATCTACAAGTGGGTAACAATCCGTTGAATGGCGTTCTGCCAGATTCTATTGGGAATCTTTCATCTAATATTCAAAACTTTTATATAGCATATGCACACATCAATGGTCTCATCCCCACAAGCATAGGCAACATGAGTGGACTTACAACCCTAGTTATTGAAGGAAACAACTTGACAGGGAGTATTCCTCCTGAGATTGGTAAGCTTAAACTACTCCAAGGGCTGGATCTGACTAACAATAAATTGCAGGGACATATTCCAGAGGCGGTATGCCATTTATCTAATTTGGTTCTATTATTTCTGCAAGTTAATGATCTCTCTGGATTAATTCCAGAATGCTTAGGAAATCTTAGCATGCTACAAATGCTTTATTTGGGTTCTAATAAATTTTCATCAAAATTTCCGTTGCTCCTTTGGAAAATGAGTGGTCTTCTCTATCTAGACATGTCACAAAATTCAATAGAGGGAGAAGTTCCAACAGATATTGGAGGACTGAAAGCCATTGTAGCTCTAAATCTTTCCGGTAACCACTTTTCAGGCATGATACCAACCAGATTGGGAGAACTCCTAACCCTGCAGTATCTTGACCTATCAAACAATTCATTTTTTGGCCAAATTCCATTATTCTTTGCCAACTTGATAAGCTTGGAAATCTTGAATTTGTCTTTAAATTCCTTGTCAGGTATTATTCCTAAGTCTTTGGAAAAACTTTCATACCTTAAAAACATTAATGTTTCATTTAATGATTTAGAAGGTGAAATACCGAGTGGTGGCGTGTTTGCAAATTCCACTCTGCAATCATTTCTTGGGAACAAAGGTCTATGTGGAATGCACATATTGGAGATTCCTGCTTGTGCTAGCAATAATCCTGGAAAACAATCAAAGCTTAAGGAGGTTCTGCTAAAAATTGTTACTCCAGTGGTTATTGCATCCTTTCTGATATTCTTGTTGGTTTCAATTTGGATAGTGAAACGACAGAAGAAAGGAAAGTCCAAAGATGTTGAAAAGGTACAAGAGATCGGGACTCATCAATTAGTTTCTTATCACGAGATTCAAAGAGCAACAAATAATTTTGATGAATCCAATTTAATTGGTGAGGGAAGCTCTGGCTCTGTGTACAAAGGCACATTGTTTGGTGGAACTGCTGTGGCCATTAAGGTTCTGGATTTGGAAAATGAGCAAGTATGCAAGAGGTTTGATACTGAATGCGAAGTGATGAGAAATGTTAGGCACAGAAATCTTGTTCCAGTGATTACTACTTGTTCTAGTGACTATATAAGAGCCTTTGTTCTGCGATATATGCCCAACGGGAGTCTTGAGAATTGGTTGTACAGAGAAGATTGCCACTTGAATCTTCATCAAAGAATCACCATAATGCTTGACGTGGCAATGGCAATTGAATATCTACAGCATGGTCATGTCACTCCAATAGTTCATTGCGACTTAAAGCCAGCCAACGTTCTTTTGGATGAAGATATGGTGGCTCATGTTGGTGATTTTGGCATCTCTAAAATTTTAGCCATAAGTAAGTCCATGGCACATACCGAGACATTGGGCACTCTTGGATACATGGCACCAGGTATACTACTTTGTTTCTTTCTCACTTATATAATAACCTTTCTATTTGATTTTTTTTCTTATCTATATCAAGCCCTTGCAAATACTAGAACTAAATAAAAAGCATGTCTTTGTTAGTACGCACACTATTGTTATATTCAAATGAGTAATTCTTTTTCATTTTCATTTGTTTAAGAATATGGCTCAGAGGGAATAGTGTCCACTAGTGGTGATGTTTATAGTTATGGCATCATGTTGATGGAGGTTTTGACCAAAAGAAGGCCAACAGATGAAGAGATATTCCATGGAGATCTTGACTTGAGGAAATGGATAACACAATTATTTTCAGGGACTATGATGGACGTTGTGGATGCCAATATTTTTTCCGCAGAAGAACAGATCACTTCCAAAAGTGAAATCTGCATCGCGTCCATGATAGAATTGGCTTTAGACTGCACAAAGGAAATGCCAGAATCAAGAATAACCATGAAAGAAGTAGTCAAAAGGCTTAACAAAATCAACAACACATTTCTGGAAACATAGAAATCTCTTTCGGTGGTGTTCTTTCTGTGCTGCAAGTTAACATGTTGCTTTTTGTTTACTTGTTTGTTGAATATAGTCGTCGTGTGTTCTACCTGTAGACATGTACTGTTTGTACTTCAGAGTGTTGCATTTCCCTCCTTTTGTGATTTAAGATTTGAGTAGTCTTTAATATGTTTTGAATGCTTGAATAAAATTAAGAAATATTATGAAAGTGTTTAGCTGCACTAATTTTCTTTCTGTTTGCCTCTACTTCATATTTTTGATTCATTAGCTTCTTCCGATTAATATATTCAACTATTTAATAAATGGAATGCTTAGTTGGACTTGGTGAGTTTTGCAGGTGAATGAAAAACCGGATCCTAATTATCCAATAGCTTTTACACCGCAAGTACACATAATTTAAACTCAAACTTAACTTTGATTGCCCTATTTTTCAGTATCAGTCAAAGTATAAGCTTAACATATACTGACGATTATCAAGTACTAAAAATGAAAGTGCAAGTAAAGAAGAGATTTATGTAGCTCAATCCGAAAGTTGAAGTGAAGACAAGGTGTATAAGCTTCAAAAACTTTATATAGGTTGAAGGAGGTCCAAGTGAAGTGAAAACACTCCCTAAGAAATCTATATTATTTATATAAAGGAGAAACATGAAGCTGCTGATGTGGCATGTCTCTAAAGCCAACAATAACATTTATCTTCTTTTTTTCAAATTTTTGACATTTATTTTTAATTTTTATCTTATTTTAAATTAATGTGTAACATAATCAAGTCAATGAATAGAAAAAAAAACGATCTATTAGTTTCAAGCGTTTACTCTATGATTTGTAGATGATTTTCTTACATCTCACCTTTATAGAATATCAAATTTGATTATATGAGATTTTGTTGCAATCATAAATGGATAGCTAATTGCACATGTAAGCGGACACCTTATAGTTGATCTATCATAATTAAGAAGGTATGATATTTCATGGTAACTTTTTATACTTGTAAAAGCTTTCTAAATTATTTAAAATATTTCATTGACTAGCTCAAGACGTCAATGCTCTACCAGATTGACCATTTTCTTATCAGCATGGGAGTTGTCTTTCTATTATTCTTGTCAAATACACATTGAGGTTTTATTAAAAAAAAATAGAAAGTAATGATACGTTTTGTTTCATTGTGATGTTGTTTATTATCTTAGGATAGTGTACGATATGCATACTTTATGCACATTGAAAATTATTTATTTTTCTTTTGAAGTTACTAATCTTAATATTGTCATTCACACAGAGTTGGTGGCCACGAGAATTTTACAAAAAAAGTGTTGTACTCAACACTTTTTTATTATAGTGATTCAAGATTTCATGACAATATAATATTATTGTATACTTTCCAAAGTCCTTCTAAAACAATTAATTTGATTGCACATAATTTTCACTTTCTTATTATAGTGGTTCAAGATTTCATGACAATTTATTGACTACTTTTCTTAATTTCATCTAAAAAAAAATTAACTTAGGAGTATGCGATTGCACTTATTTTTCACTTTTTGAATTCATCTAAATTTATATTGTTCTCGCATTTTTCTATATTTATTGCATATTATGGTAAATGCTATAACTTGAAGTTTAAGTTAATTTCTTTAGATTTTGTAAGATATTTTGTAATGTTTTTTTAAATTTATCAAGGCCATGTTAGATGTTGGCTTATGTTGATAATAAATTGGTTTGTGTTTTTTGCTATGCGTTACATGAAGTTAAAATGCAAATCATTTATTTAACATTTCGGAGAAATATCAAGATTGTTTAAATGTAAAAAAAAAAAGGTGAGTTTTTAGTTTTTGAATTCTACTTTTCAAAAGTTTTGATTTTATTTTAGGGTAAAAAAAGAAATGTATGTGAAGATTATCATTTTTTTTAAAAAAACGAAGGCACTATCCACTGATATTTTCCTTTTAACCCATTATTGTGCTATATTTTAATTAATTTCAATTAATTGTATACGGAAAAAAATGGCACCTGGATTTATTAAAGAGATCAACCAATTAACTAATGAAAATTCAATAAAAATATTCATATTTGTAAATGTAATCTAAAAAAATAAAATATATATAGATAATTTTATTTTTTATAAAAACTAAATTTATGAAAATATATATATCTACTCACTAATATTTTGATGATCGCGCGAAGCGCAACTATGTTCACTAGTTGTTAATATGTGTGAATAGCAATTTATGTTATTAAAGATGTGTTCTTGGTCCATTATTTATAGATGTGTTACATTCCCTCATGTTGTAATTTCATATATTGAGTGGTTTCGTATGTATTTTATTTTGTTTAATAACTATGATTTGAACGCTTGAATAAATCAAAACAAGTATGGAAATGTCTTTTCCACCTCATTTCTTATTTCCTTCATAAATAGAAAAGAAATTGCTAGAGATAAAAGAAAAGAAATCGAAAGAGATAGATTAGAAACAATGTAGACCGTAGAGTAGGAATTCTATGAACATCAAATAATTTAGGTATGAAACTTGTAAAATAATGATGCTTATAAGGTTTTCATGTATTTAAATTTAAATCATTGTTTACATATCCGGTAATTAATCATAGTAAACAAAAATATTTTGTAGTGTTAATAAGAGGGGGAAGGGTTAAAGAATATCAGATGTTTGAGGAACGCTACATGTTGTTGGAGTAAAATATCATCAACAAGGGTGTTTTAATGTGTTGTATCGATTAAGTTCACGAATTGGAGATAAGCAAACTTGAACCGCTAACTTTCGCCATAGAGGTAACCATTGCTTTTCAGGTCCCTCGACTAATTCTACCGATCTCTAATATTATTTTTGAATAAAAAAGAGTGAAGAGTCAAAATCACACCTAAAGTATTATTTTATTTTAACGTTCATAGCTGAACTATCAGGTATGCAAATTTTCTACTTGAATTATCATCAATTATATATATATAAATACACATTAACTATCAATTGTTCTCTTTTGTTAACCGAACAGTGATGATATATTAGGTCAGAAATTCACACATCCAATAGTTGAGATGTATTTTGATAAATAATTAGTTAGTACTCACATTTTGAAACTCACACACGTTATGGTAGTTTAAATATGAAACTCAAAATAGTTAAAAATACTTTAGATATGTTGTTGACCCTCGGGTTAATAATTTTATTATTTTACTCTTTTTGAAATAATAAATTGAAAAAGGAAAAGAATAAAGACAGGGGTCCATCAAGA